GCTCCCCCTCCCCCCCCAAAAAAGGTGCCAAATATGGCAGTAGAGGGGGGAGGAGGCAAATAAGTGGAGCTTCCACTTTTGAGTGGAACTCTGCTTTAATTAAACAAGTTGAGGTTAGAAGCTGACTGGCTACCATGCACAGCGTCACCAGGTACTGAGTAAACCAGCTTTAGTAAAAAAAAAAAAAAAAAAAACCCTTCCTGCCTTAGGCTTCATATATACGAGCAGCTGCTAAACTCCAGTTTTGGAGCTTTTGGCTTTTTTTTTTGCCAAAGCTCCTAAACTCAATTGCATAAAAGCCTATGTGTCCATGTACACATAGGCTTTTAGCAGATCTGCCGCATTTAGGTGAGGTTAAACTTCCCTCTCCTGAACATGAAAGAATTGCATTCAGGATAGGAACGTTTTGACCGCCGACCGTGGGAAAATGCAAAATGTGGTAAAAACGCGCCAACCACATTACCGCATTTTTCCCCGATCTGTGTTTCCCATCAGCCAGCGGTCAGAGTAGGCTCATGTACATGCAGCCTTACGGTGTCTCCACACTGGATGGAGGAGCAACAGAGACACATGTGGACAGCAGCATTGTCAGTCTGGGGAGAGGGTAGTGTTAGACCAGCAGATTTAGATGGGCTTGACAAAAGCCGAACTCCAGCTAACATTTTATAAGCAGTTACAGCAACAGATTTTTTCTTTTTGGGATAAAGGTTTTACATATGTGAATAAAAGCGGACCATTTAAGGCACCCCTGACAGTGTTAAATGGTTTGTCCCAACCCTCTAACTGCCATTTTTTTCTGGATAACTTGGTGTGTTAAAGAAAGTTGAAAAATAACAGACTTACTGGCAAGTTCACAGGTAAAAATAATGGAATGTTCTTAATAATAATATACAGTAAAAGTAAAATGTAGCAGAAGAGTAAATGTTTGTATTGTTCTGCTAAGTGTTTTGCACTGTGTTTCTCCCAATACAATGCTGCTGAAATCAAGATAAAACCTGTGGTTGGCATGGTCCCAAAAACAACAATCTTTAAAAAGTGCAGGTTTAAATTTATAGGGCTTCTTCTTTATCATCTTGAAGGATATAAGCTTTGATTACAATAAATTCATCTGCCAAAAATAAGAAGGCTTTTAAATGCATCCAGATTTCTTAAACTCTCCCAATTTTTCCACCCTATATTTCTACAAAGAGAAAGCTCTTTGTAGTACACATAAGTAAATATTTAATGCCTTTCACCTGTTTGTGTTTATGCTTCAATTTAAGGATGTCTGAAATAACAGTTACAAATCAGCATCCAGTAAACGATTTATAGAGGATCCAGAAATTCACATGTGTTTAAACGAATCGGATACAAGAGATTCATGCACATATACATACTGAATATTCTATACTTGTTAATGTTCAATTCTGTGTTTGTTTGTGCAAGCCCTCCCTAAGCAGCTTTCGTAATCATCTATATATCTATATCATCTAGACATCTATAATCCTAAAGATAATCTATATAATGTGCACTGTGCGGTACACTTTGTATAAATCATATTATATATAGCTATGGGAAAATTCCCTTGCAATGTAAAAATTCACTTTGCTAAGTGAACAGTCTATATGACTGTTTACTTAGCAAAGTGAATTTTTACATTGCAAGGGAATTTTCCCATAGCTTAGTGAATGAGGTAAAGCTTTGCTGATTTCAGTGATTTCAAAGATGCAAGAAAAAGTTTTTTTTTTCTCTTGCTTATCATTGGGTATATGTTGCAAGGTCAATTTTCACCACATTCACTAAGCTAAGCTGAAATTCTCATGCAGGATGAAAATTCACTTTGCAAAGTGAATATGTGCTACTCATTCAGTAAGGCTACTTTCACACTGCCCAGTTCCAAAATGCGGTAACATGCATTTTTGCAACGTTTCTGATGTGGCTCAAAAAAAGCACCAAAAACACAACCACGGGAGAAAAGCAGCAGTAGTGCGTTCAATATGAGTTTCCTTTAATGATTATCACACAGATAACATTTAGATAACATATTGAGGTAGATTTACTAAAACTGGTGCACATAGAATCTAATGCAGATCTGCATAGCAACCAATCAGCTTCCAGGTTTTATTGGCAAAGCTTAACTGAACAAGCTGAAGTTAGAAGCTGATTGGTTACTACGCACAGCTGCAACAAATTCTGTGTGCGCCAGTTTTAGTAAATCTCCCCCATTATGTAGTAAATAACAATTTACATTTACAAGAAGTAATATATAAAATAGGAAACAAAGCAAATTCAGTGCCCAGGATGAAGATAGGAAACTGTGCTCGACCTTCACCCCCACTGGGTGGAGAATTAGAAGGGGACTAGGCCACTAGTGGCGCATGCCGAAACTTATGTGATATTTGTAGTATGTGATGAACTAGTACTAATGTTTCTGTAACACTGCAGTGAACTCAATAGTTTAAAATCATTACACAAATATGGCGCTAACAGTGGCAAAAGAAAAAGTGTCCATATAGTCAGTGGTGTAATTGGAAGGAAAAAAAATGTCCCTGCATCAGTGGTAACACTAGAAGGAAAACATGTCCCTGCATCAGAGGTGTCACTGGAGGGGAAAAAGTCCCTGCATCAGTGGTGTTACTGGAAGGAAAAACATTTTTCTGAATCAGTGGTGTCATTGGTAGGAAAAAAGTCCCTGCATTGGTAGTGTCACTGAAAGGAAAAATGTTCCTGAGTCAGTGGTGTCATTGGAAGAAAAATGTCCCTGCATCAGTGGTGTCATTGGAAGTAAAACATGTCCTTGCATCGACGATGATACTGGAAGGAAAAAATGTCCCCACATCAGTGGTGTCACTAGAAGGAAAAATGTATTTGCATCTCTGGTGTGATTGGAACAAAAAATGTCCCTGCATCAGTGGTGTAACTGAAAGGAAGAAATGTCTTTGTGGCTGTGGTGTAACTGAAAGGAAAAAAAAATGTCCCTTTGATACTCGTGTCAGTCTGAGGAAAGTTCAGGAGAGCATATTGTACAAGGCACAGGGCTCAAAAGTGTGTATTACAGAGGGTGCAGGGCTTAGCAGTACATATATTACAAGGCATGGGGCTCTGGAGTGTGTCTTTTGCAGGGTTTATGAGTGCATATTGTGTAGGGTTCAGGATGGGTATTGTGCAGGTGCAAAGGCAGGTATTGCACAGGGTGCAGGGCTCAGGGCTATTATTATAAATACTGTATAATAAATAATAATAATTGCACAGGGCTCAGGAATGGGTAACACACCAGCACATCACTCTGCCCACAACCACCCAGTACAGAACTCTCCCCTCACTACAAATGTCTCCCTTCACCCTATCCCCACAATACAGTACATTCCTCAACCCCCACTCACCAACACTACTAAAAAGTTATTCCCCCTTCCCAGAGCTCCCCCTCCAGAGCCCTCGCAGTTCATAGCTCTTCCACCAACCCCCACAATACTTACCTAGTTTTAAGTGAAAGAAGAGCAGCTGCTAGGAGGCTGGGCTCTGCTGTTCTGCTGAGCCCTGAGAGAGACACCCAGAGGAAGCCAGCTTCTTTTTTTACAACAAGTGACAGAGGTGAGAAAAAAAGCCTTGTTGGCAGGAGTGACACTGCAGTCACTCCTGTCAGTGAGGCACAGGGAATAGGGAGAGGATGAAGCTCTCAGCAACCTTCTCTCTATATAGAAACATTGTGCCTGGGACACCTGCCCCTTCTGCATCTCTCTTGTCCTGCCCCTGACTATATGCCCACTAAGTGAACTCAGAAATGATACAGCATGAAAGAGAACTGAAGGAAGAGCTTGTATAATAGAGCATTATTAGCATGTCCCCAAGGAAGCATGATTTCTAAATATGGCTCTTCCCATCAGCAGTTTTCCTATCTGTATCTCCTGGGGTTTCATTAATAATAATAGTTCAAATCTTTAAGAGCCAGCAAAAATGATTTTTCCAGATAGTTGTACACTGTACATCAAATACTAAAGAAAGTTCATTTGGAAATAAGCATCCATAGAAAACTAAGCTCCAATGGCATCTGAACATTATTTAACCAACTCTCTGAAATGTGACTTGGTATATCTCATGATAATAACCATCACTGTGTCAGGTAAAGCAAGGTTTACAGTACACTAAGCTGCCCATCAGGTCTTTAATGTAATAGGTAATACACCACAGTTACTGCTTCCCATACTGTCAATTTAGCATGAGTCACAAACGATTTCCAGGGCTACATAAAGCCATTTAAGACTATTTTGGGACTATAATAATTTTTACCTTCATGAACATTATGGTGAACCTTTGATAGGTATCTACTGTAAGTTCTAAAGAAATTTCAGGAAATGGATATTTTGAGAATTGCTGTAATAAAAAGGACAAATAACTGTGGGGGATGCCACTTCAAAGGACTTGATTGAGGTGAGGGGGAAGGAAGGCAGCTGGGACCATCCTGTCTTTTTCAGCTGGTGACTTAAACTGACCAGTGTCTTGAGCCCACCCATTAGAGGTTAAGATATGTGGAAGGGTGTGACTTTACTTGGAATGGGGGGGGGTGGAGGGGTATAAAAGTAATCCATTGCTCTCCTTCCCCTCTTGAAGCTCAGTCATCAGGATGTCTGCGTAATGTATCATCATTATTCTATGTTTCATTCCTGTCACTTTCTTTCCTGTAGTTGTCTATATGTATTGGTACCATTCTGTGTTTACATTGTAATATCATTACTTTTAAAGTTATACTGGCTACTTTTTATTTTGTTATAATTGATTAGTAGTCCGATTCTTTACTGTATAAATACATTAGATCTTTATATTTTGTACAGGTGTTATCCTTTGGTATTAACATTATTGGGAGTAGCCACATGAGGATTGGCTAAATTCATGTATAGACAAAAGGTTGTAATCACGTATTATATTTATCATCAAGTGAATAAAGACTCAAGACTCAAGTTAGGGATACACTTTATGCATGCTATCAGTACTTGATAAAAATGTTGACAGAGATCATGTCTTACCGGTTTCCACTCTGTAGTATACCAAGAAGGTGGACAGTCAAAACGGTTGCAGGCTTGCACCGAAATAGGTTTAGGTTGTCTGCAGACATCATCACCCAAAACAACAGTTTCATTTGTCTCTCGGGACAGAAGATGAGAGCAGAACACATCTCTGGTCTGTAATCCAACGCCACAAGTCAAGCTGCACGAGCTCCAGTTTCCAGTTTCCCACCTGGTGGAAAAAAGCCACATCATTAAATATTCTGTATAGCTCCCAAGTGTCAATATGTATTTGCAAGGTAGGTATAGTAAAATCAAAGACTGCAATGTGTGGGAATTTACTTCATTTGGGAAAATCAGCCACAGTTAACAGGAAGCACCCACATCCTGATTTATGGTAATGCAAGCATTTAGTTGCTTTTGTTCCCATTTTTTTAGTAATGAAAACATCATGTATAACGTTTTTTTGCATTTACATATTTTGCTAGTTACATTACACTAAACCAAAGCTTTCTAGCAGACAACACTATTACCCAAAACTTTGAAGCAACTGAAAAAAGGGAACATTTATTAAAACTCCAGAACAAAAAAAAAAAATAATTATAATAATAAAAAAATAATTTTATATACAGGTGAAACTCGAAAAATTAGAATATTGTGCAAAAGTTCATTTATTTCAGTAATGCAACTTAAAAGGTGAAACTAGTATATGAGATAGACTCATTATATTCAAAGCAAGATAGTTTAAGCCGTGATTTGTCATAATTGTGATGATTATGGCTTACAGCTCATGAAAACCCCAAATCCACAATTTTAGAAAATTAGAATATTGTGAAAAGGTGCAATATTCTAGGCTCAAAGTGTCCCACTCTAATCAGCTAATTAAGCCATAACACCTGCAAAGGGTTCCTGAGCCTTTAAATGGTCTCTCAGTCTGGTTCAGTAGGAATCACAATCATGGGAAAGACTGCTGACCTGACAGTTGTGCAGAAAATCATCATTGACACCCTCCATAAGGAGGGAAAGCCTCAAAAGTTAATTGCAAAAGAAGCTGGATGTTCCCAAAGTGCTGTATCAAAGCACATTAATAGAAAGTTATGTGGAAGGGAAAAGTGTGGATGAAAAAGGTGCACAAGCAGCAGGGATGACCGCAGCCTGGAGAGGATTGTTAGGAAAAGGCCATTCAAAAGTGTTGGGGACTTTTACAAGGAGTGGACTGAGGCTGGAGTCAGTGCATCAAGAGCCACCACACACAGACGGATCCTGGACATGGGCTTCAAATGTCGTATTCCTCTTGTCAAGCCGCTCCTGAACAACAAACAACGTCAGAAGCGTCTTACCTGGGCTAAAGAAAAACAGACCTGGTCTGTTGCTCAGTGGTCCAAAGTCCTCTTTTCTGATGAGAGCAACTTTTGCATCTCATTTGGAAACCAAGGACCCAGAGTATGGAGGAAGAATGGAGAGGCACACACCGCAAGATGCTTGAAGTCCAGTGTGAAGTTTCCACAGTCTGTGTTGATTTGGGGAGCCATTTCATCTGCTGGTGTTGGTCCACTGTGCTTCATTAAGTCCAGGGTCAACGCAGCCGTCTACCAGGAGATTTTGGAGCACTTCATGCTTCCTTCCGCAGACGAGCTTTATGGGGATGCTGACTTAATTTTCCAGCAGGACTTGGCACCTGCCCACACTGCCAAAAGCACCAAAACCTGGTTCAATGACTGTGGGATTACTGTGCTTGATTGGCCAGCAAACTTGCCTGACCTGACCCCCATAGAGAATCTATGGGGCATTGCCAAGAGAAAGATTAGAGACATGAGACCAAACAATGCAGAAGAGCTGAAGGCCGCTATTGAAGCATCCTGGTCTTCCATAACACCTCAGCAGTGCCACAGGCCGATAGCTTCCATGCCACGCCGCATTGAGGCAGTAATTGCTGCAAAAGGGGCCCAAACCAAGTACTGAGTACATATGCATGCTTATACTTTTCAGAGGTCCAATACTGTTCTATGTACAATGCTTGTTTTATTGATTGCATGTAATATTCTAATTTTCTGAGATTGTGGATTTGAGGTTTTCATGAGCTGTAAGCCATAATCATCACGATTATGACAAATCACGGCTTGAACTATCTTGCTTAGCATGTAATGAGTCTATCTCATATATTAGTTTCACCTTTTAAGTTGCATTACTTGAATAAATGAACTTTTGCACGATATTCTAATTTTTTGAGTTTCACCTGTATATATATATATATATATATATATATATATATATACACACACTGCTAAAAAAAAAATTAATCAGAGTATAGCATCAAATCAATTAAACTCCTGGGATATTGATCTGTTCAGTTAAGTAGCAGAGGGGGTTGTTGATTAGTTTCAGCTGCTTTGGTGTTGATGAAATTAACAAGAAGTGCACTAGATGGGCAACAATGAGACAACCCCCAAAACATGAATGGTTTTACAGGTGGAGGCTACTGACATTTTTTCCCTACTAATCTTTTCTGACTATTTTTCACTAGTTTTGCATTTGCCTAGGGTCAGTGTCACTACTGGTAGCATGAGGCGACACCTGGACCTTACTGAGGTTACACAGGCAGTCCAACTCCTCCAGGATGGTACATCAATACATGCTATTTCCAGAAGGTTTGCTGTGTCTCCCAGCACAGTCTCAAGAGCATGAAGGAGATTCCAGGAGACAGGCAGTTACTCTAGGAGAGCTGGACAGGGCCGTAGAAGGTCCTTAACCCATCAGCAGGACCGGTATCTGCTGCTTTGTGCAAGGAGGGAACAGGATGAGTACTGCCAGAGCTCTACAAAATGACCTCCAGCAGGCCACTGGTGTGAATGTCTCTGACCACACAATCGGAAACAGACTTCATGAGGGTGGCCTGAGGGCCTGACATCCTCTAGTGGGTCCTGTGCTCACTGCCCAGCATGATAGAGCTCAATTGGCATTTGCCATTGCACACCAGAATTGGCAGGTCTGCCACTGGCGCCTTGTGCTCTTCACATCTGAGAGCAGGTTCACCCTGAGCACATGTGACAGACGTGAAAGGGTCTGGAGAAGCCGTGGAGAATGTTATGCTGCCTGTAACATTCAGCATGACTGTTTTGGTGGTGGGTCAGTGATGATCCAAGAAGGCATATCCATGGAGGGATGCACAGACTTGTACAGGCTAGACAATGGCACCCTGACTGTCATTAGGTATCGGGATGAAATTCTTGGACCCATTGTTAGACCCTACGTTGGTGCAGTGGGTCCTGGGTTTCTTCTGGTGCACAACAATGCCTCACGTGGAGAGAGCATGCAGGCAGTTCCTGGAGGATGAAGAAATTGATATCATTAAATGGTCCCCACGCTCGCCTGACCAAAATCCAATAGAACACCTCTGGGATATCATGCTGCGGTCCATCCGACACTGACAGGTTGCACCTCAGACTGTGCACGAGCTCAGTGATACCCTGGTCCAGATCTGGGAGGAAATACCCCAGGACACCATCCGTTGTCGCATTAGAAGCATGCCCAGACATTGTCAGATATGCATACAAGCATGTGGGGATCATACAAACTGCTGAGTACCCTTTTGAGTTGCTGCAATGAAATTTGAGCAAAATGGACTAGCCTCCTGCATCATTTTTTCCACTTTGATTTTTGGGGTGTCTTTGAATTCAGTCCTTTGTAGGTTGATAATTTTCATTTCCATCAAATAATGGGGCATCTTTATATTCCTAACACATTACCCAGTCCATATCAGTATAGATATCCAGCATGATATTTTGTCCCATCTGATGTGTTTTCAAAGTGGTCCTTCAATTTTTTTGAGTATATATATATATATATATATATATATATATATATATATATTTTTTTTTTTTGTAATGCTGTTAAAGGAATGACAACATTGTCCACAAGCATTTTAGCACACATTAGTTTGGGCTGATTTTAGTGAATAAAACATCCCACCCAAATTTTTTTTAATGTCTCCATGGGAATGTCCAATATATTAATGAGTATAATTGTTGCAATAACTATAATTGCAACAATTATAATATAATTGTAATATTATTACTGTTATATTGGCAAATAGGTTATCAACTCTAGTTCTGCTGCCATCATCACTTCCCGGTGAAAAGACAAACATTTATTCTAGTTTGTACAATAAATGGAAGGGTATTCTTTAGAAAACCTTGAGTAGATATTGATTAAACAATGGAAGAGTAAAATACACACACACACACACACACATATATATATATATATATATATATATACACATACACTCTTTATTTATTACTGAGATCTAATGCTCTAAAGATCCATTGCCATTATTTTGGCCAGCCTGCCCTTGTCCTAAGAAGACGTAGACCTCAGGAATACAAAAAAAATTCAAAACCTTCACTTACTGCTATATAGAAGCTAAATGGTAAGCTTTAGATCCTCAAACCAACTTCATTCAAAATTTAAAAAATATGGATAGGGTTAGAAGTGTCATTTTGTTATTATTGGTATCTCCTGGAGAGATTTTCATTCACTTTTTGTCCTGGTGACCACATAATGGTTACAGAGACAGCAACTAAAACATGTCCCCACAGTATCCAAAACAAAATAAGAAAAACACTGTAGGTCGCAGGTGTGCTCTAAGTTGAGGAATGGAAGTGCTCAAGTACCCACAAACATGCAGGATATCTGCAGAGAAAATTTGTTTTAGAACTTCCCCAGTCTTAGAGTTGCCCCCAACTTATAAAGATAAGTCTAGATACTGAATGCAATAGAAAGATGGGATCTGTATGCACATGCATGCGTCTATTAAACGATTGCCTCAAATGTCCCCTGAATAATACATAATTGTCAAATATGACCATCACTACAGAGAGTGCAAAAATTAGCCTTCTTGTTGCTAAGTAGCCTAAGGTGAACTGATCTGCACATGAAAAGAAAGCTTCTTTGACACCTTGGAATTAATTAAAAAAAGAAGTAGGCTTTTGCTTTGCAAGCAAATTTTACTTTCACTTTGCAAGGAAATTTTCCTTAGTGAATGTGGTGAAAATTCTCTTTGCAAAGGTTACCCAGGCATGTGCAAGGAAAACAATTGCATTTTTGTTTGAACATACTTGGATAAGTAAGGTCAGCAGAGTTTTATTTTATTCAATAAGCTAAAGAAAAATTATCTTTTAAAGTGAATAGCTTCTTTGCCTTGTTGATCTATCCTTTGTATCATCAGTCTCC